TGGCTATCAGAACTCAGTAGCTAGGTGGATAACACAATGGCGTTTAAAGCGGACGGTACTAGATCTGAGTACTAGAGTGAAAATCAACTGTGAAATGTGTGTACATCTAGCTGACGAGTCCCATATAGGACGAAACGCACGTCTTGAATTTCACTGCTAGACACTATCCACCTTTGCTTATGTGACAATATACTTACATAATTATCATCATATTCAGGTCTATGTTATATATATAGTAAGCTAATAAGCAATCTTTAATTCAGAAATCACTATGTCCAGATAGATGGTTATTTGTTTGAGCTAATTCAGTGATGAATCATCTAAATATAATTTTCATTGAAAGTGTCTTTTATTAGTCCGACTATCTCATCCTTTCGGATTGAGTTTGCAAAGTGAACTAAGATACTAAACTGAAGTTTCTTCTTCAAACATGAAGGTATTACTATTATTTTGACTGAAAGAAAACAGATTCTTCATCAAAATTCACTGGGACATTGATAAATGGAAAAGAAGAAATATGATATTTATTTCATTAATTATTATTGGTTAAAAAAACATTTTGGAATTTGATATTCAGTTTTTTTTTTAAATATTCAGTTACATTTACAGATTTCTAAATGCGATTATATTCAAAAGTGTATTTCAATTTCAGGCCATGAAAATAATGAGTCATGCGACTTTTTGTTGCCGGTATTGAACTATCAATACAATGATTACTCTGTATCTAAGATAAACTCAAATCGGAGGTCTGACAAACTATATAGGTCATAGTGGTATAATAGAACTTACAGCGAATTGCTAACAGAAATCAGAATGAATGTATTCTCATGTCAGAAGGTTGAAATAGACTTTTAAATGTAATGGTTTTCTACCTAATATTTTCTTTTGAAACATTTGTAATGTTAATCAACTTTTAGATAGTTGATGTAATGAAAAGATCAATTTTATTGTAACTAGGTATTATGACAGCTGAATATATATCGAATACACTGGGCAAAGATTAAATTATTGAAATATTTATGTCAGGAATAAAAAAATATTAGATTTAGATATATGAAAACAAGAAAAGGTTTAAATCATCTCATTGTATTAATATATTTGAAGTAAGTGTTACCAGGGTATGTTGGATCTTATTTAATTACTCTATAGTCTTAATAATGATTACAAGTGTTGGAATTTTGGCCACTTTCTAATTTAAGATCACATCAACAAATCTATACCTGATCCACCAACGAAAAAAAAACTAACATTACCTATAATCTTTGATATTCTTAATTATGTAGAAAAAAAATTTCCAAAATACAAACTCAGCTAAAAACGTTGTATGTATATATGATCATACAACAACGAGGATAATAAGATTGAAATCTAATGAGGCTAGTAAATGGACTAGACTAAAAATTCGAAATTATTTCAATTAGTCCAATGTATGTGACATAACATCCAATTAAAAAGCCTGTTTTAATTATTTAATTGTAATTTAAGCCGTGATGAGACAATTTATCAGATAGTTGGTAAAAAAGTGTATACACACATGCATATATACATGTATATATATATATATATCTTTATCGTTTCTGTTTTAGATACGACTCACATTTGTCAAAGTCAGGTATTATGTAACATATTTTAGATTGCTAGCAGTCAAATGAAGAGTTAACAAATTTTCTTTAGGTAAACTTATAAATTTTTTCATTGATATTGACAGGCAATTTTCATTACATTTAATCAATACTTATAAAAACATTTAAAACTAGAGAGTGTATCTTTCCCTATTTTACTATACTGCGAACTCTACTCTATCATTATAGATCAGACCTGGTACTTTCAGACGATAGCTTGGATGATTTCACCTTTTTGTATGTTAAACAAATTTGAAATGTAAAGTTTATTTTATTGAGCAACATTAAAAAGTTGAAATTTTGGTGCATGTTTCGTAAACTCTACTAGGCTTGAAACCCATCCCAAAGTTTAATAACAATGAACATAATTGCTCATTATAAGCAAAGATAGAAGCTGGCTAGTAGTGGAATCCAGGATGTGCACAGGATATACATATGCAAATAACAGGTTGATCAATTGCAATCCTAAACATCAAAGGGAACATTCAAATAAAGAATACAAAAAGGAATATAAATGGTAACTATTCAGTAAACTAGTTTTCCAATAGTGGTCGGCTACTTTGGATCAAAATTTTTACTAAAACATTAACATTATTTCATGACAAAATATTTTTCCAGTACTCCTTTGATTTTCATCAATTTCCCACTGAATATCGATTATTAAAAAATATCACTTGGAAACTGAATAAAAACTACCATCTAAGCAATTCAGTTATTCACTGTGTTTGATTTGAGTACAGATATATGGTAATTATATTGTCTTCTTTTTCCTTAATATTATACAATAATTTTGAAAATTAGGGAAAAGTTAAAAAAATTCCTCTAGAGTAATTGATTTAAATATTTTGTATTATCTTTATGCCTTAAAAGTATTTCAGGCTTTTTTTAGTATACAGTTTTTAGCAACATTTATTTCTATTGTACAATTACGATTCAATTAGATCACGCTTTGATCATAAAAATTATTCATCATCTAAATTGTGTGCAACAGTAAGAAAATAAATTCACTTAGTATTGTTTGTTTGAATCTTCCCATTGATGTTTAGGACTGCAATTGATCAGTCTCTTATTGGCATATGTGCATACTGTGCGCATTGCCTCGATATAGCTTTAATTCACAAGCGTTATAATCAAAGATGAAAAAAATCCAGGACGGGCGTTTCGTCTTATTTGGGGTTCGTCGGCTGGATATACCTGCATCTCAGAGTTGCATCTGATAGTTTATAATTAATCATTCATCCAGCTACTGACTCAGTAGCTGAGTGGATAACACGACGAGTTCGAGGCGAACGGTACTGGGTTCGAGTACCAGAGTGAACATCAACTCTGGGATGTGGGTACATCCAGCTGACTAGTCCCAAATAGGACGAAACGCGCGTCCTAGATCCCACTGCTAGCCATGAGCCATCGTTACTTATAGTAAGAAAATAGTTACAACTTCATTGTCAAATTATTTAAATAAATAAATTTTTTGATAATTATACAGATAAAATACTAAGTTGACTCATTATTCAAATTAATTTAATTTGTAATGATTTGGAGTGAACATCAACTCTTCGATGCTGGTACATTGAACTGACGAACGTCAAAGAGGATGACACACAAGACCTTGATTCTACTGTAAGACATTGTAAAACATTTTGGTAAAATCATTATAACCATCATCATGACCATAAAACGTTCGTAACGAAATGGCTTGTAACATTTCTCATTACATAAACCGATTTTTGAAAAAACGTTATCATTCAAACAGATTTGACTTTCCAAGGCTTGCTAGATGGGAAAGGATATTTTTTTTTCGTACAGACAAGTTTATGCTTGACTTTTCCCAGGGCTGATATTTTAATCAAAGACTAAGGAAATATATTTATTTTTTACGCATTAATGATGATGCTTAATTTTTCTGTAACTATCATGTTTACCGAATAAAAAATAAAACTAATAAATTAATATTGATTCAATATCATGTCTGTATACTCAAATGAAAATTTAATATACTTTCGTTACTAAGTAAACTGGCACGAAAGAAGGTAGTTTAGAAACCAGGATATCATTTCATCAAATTGATGAATAATGACTGTTATGAAGCTGAAAAGAACTAAGACTTTAAGTAACCAATATATAACAGCTCTATCAGTTAATCATTTAAACTGTCTGAACATACTGACAGATTACAAAATAAATAATTCCCACAGAGTGTTTAATTGTGTTTGACGTTTTTGGCATACTTAGTAAAATACACTGATAAAATACTTGAGTATGTTAGCTCACGTATTAAAGTACATATTTTCAGAAAATAAAAAAAACTCAGGCCTCATTCTATGATACATGAATCTTGTGTTACTTATGATAGTACTTGTTCAACGAAAAAAATCTGAAAATCTGTCTGAATTTTAAAACTGTTTCAAGGCCACAAACTTCTGTAAAAAATAATAGTTTTTTTCAATGTCATATCTTTTATTCATGTAGTCAACTGTTGAATAAACTGTACGTTTCAGAAGAATAGCTATAGTACATCTGAACATTCATAATTATCGATGGATATTTATCTAAACAGTAAGAAAAAGTTATCAGATGAGGGTTTTGTGGAGATTTTAGTAATTTAATAGTTGAATTATTGAGTAAATTAAAGCTAGACCACCATGAAAAACCTAGAAGCACTGGAGGGCCGTTTTGTCGTAGTATAAGACTCTTCACCAGTACTCATGTCCTTATCCCGTTTGCGAAATTCGAACTCAGAACCTATCGATTCAGCAATAATTAACTTACGAATTGAACTATTAAAGTAAGGAAAGTATTAAAAACTTAAAATAATTATGGTACTCTTCAGCAGTGCGCATCCACGATCCAGCTCTCGCGAGATTCGAACCCAGGACCTACCAATCTCGAGCCGAAGCCCTTAACCGATAGACCACTGAGCTGGTATCCAACGTTGTTAATGTCTAACTTCATCTGATCCACGAAGTTGAGCAACCATTCACCAATTGTATTCAGTGAGTTCCTATCTCACAACAGACGTGGTTGAACTCCACTGTTCACAGTTTCTCACCAGAACTCCAGGACATGTATCTTGAAGTCAGTCACTAGTGAGCATATGATTATATTTAGAAGGGGATTTGTCGAGATTTCAGTATATTTCAAAGTGGAAATCATTAGTCAATTGAAGCTAGACCACCATCGAAAACGTGGAAGCATTGGACGGCTGAGGAGTTCCATAATAGAACGAAACGGCCGTCCAGTGCTTCCAGGTTTTCGATGGTGGTCTAGCTTCAATTGACTCATGATTTCAACTTTGAAATATACTGAAATCTCCACAAATCCTCTTTTAAAATAATTAGTTTAACTGAAAGAATTAAATTTTTCGGAAATTTCACTCACTTTTATACTTGTAGGCATTTCTAATAAAATTGGAAATGTATTTCCACTAGAACGATAATCACCATTCCATACTGGTGACATTGTTCCTTGAATTAATTCAAGATTTGTATTTCTAGACCATTGTTCATGTAATATTAATGGATCAATTGAATCATTAATTGTATTAGATGTAGTTAATCCATTTAAAAAATTTAAAATACATGGATTATTATTTAAATTAGGTTGTTGTATACCTAATGTATGCGTTGACCAAGATGGTATATTTGTATTTCCATTAGGAATTTGAAATGAACATAAAGTTTGTGATTTTTGATTATTTGGAAAATTCAATATTCCTTGTAAAATATACACCATAATTCATAATGTTAATCAAAACCATATATGTATATATAATTCCAGTATACAACTGATGTAGTTGTAACTAAGTGACTGTTGAATGGATTCAATGAATGAACTTCATTGATAAAATAAGCCTTGACAACTAAATTTGTTTGGGATAATTTGAATAAAAGAATGAAGATATCAAGGTAAATAAAAAAAATTTTTAATTTTGAGCTTATTTTTGAAAGAATTAGGTCAAGTGAAATTTTCTAGAAGCTCCAGTTTTATAATTTACCTGATTACTTATATTTTATGATATATACTCATTGTTCAGTGTTTACAGACATGCTCACCTATATATGTATAAAGTTATCCCAATTGTTAACAGTGACAGTTAACTAACCAATCATATTTTCAATCAAATGCCATATATAATGAACTCATTCTATCTACACTTAACCATATTATCTATCGATACATATGCACATGAATAGATGGGCAAACTTGAGTAAAATCAAATATGTATACATATATATATATATATGTAAATACATACCGACAAATAAACCTGTAATAGATTCAATAAAAGTTTATTTTTTTGTTTTTGTTTTTTAATAAAAATAATTTTGATTAGTTTATTTCCATCGATCAGTATTATTAGTTGGATAATGTTTTAATTGCAAGAGTATATATTAAACTAGGCATTTATGGTATTCATTATGTTACTAATAAAATATCGAAATACTATTTGACTTTACATTGTGAACAGAATAAATAAATATTTGACAATAGAAACATTTTTAATCATTATTTAATAATCAGAAGGGGATTTGTGGAGATTTCAGTATATTTCAAAGTTGAAATCATGAGTCAATTGAAGCTAGACCACCATCGAAAACCTGGAAGCACTGGACGGCCGTTTCGTCCTATTATGGGACCCCTCAGCAGTGCGCATCCACGATCCCGCCCTCGCGAGATTCGAACCAAGGACCTACCAGTTACGAGACAGAGCCTTTAAACGAAATATACTGAAATCTCGACAAATCCCCTTCTAAATATAATCATATGCTCACTAGTGACTGACTTCAAGATACATGTCCTGGAGTTCTAGTGGGAAGCAGTGACCAGTGGAGTTCAACCACGTCTGTTGTGAGATAGGAACTCACTGAATACAATTGGTGAATGGTTGCTCAACTTCGTGGATCAGATGAAGTTAGACATTAACAACGTTGGATACCAGCTCAGTGGTCTATCGGTTAAGGGCTCTGGCTCGTAACTGGTAGGTCCCGGGCTCGAATCTCGCGAGAGCGGGATCGTGGATGCGCACTGCTGAGGAGTCCCATAATAGGACGAAACGGCCGTCCAGTGCTTCCAGGTTTTCGATTGTGGTCTAGCTTCAATTGACTCATGATTTCAACTTTGAAACATTATTTAATAGTAGAGAACGGAAATTGATCACTAGGTGGTGATCAATATCATGTATGTCACGTCCTTCTAAGTGATAATATCTCTGAATGTGAAGCAAGGTGATACGGAATCGAATTCGTCAGGGAGCATCAGTTCCCTCAAGGTTACAGGTACACCTTGCTGATGAGTGGCAAGTAACAAGAAACCTAGGTCCAAGGTTTCCTGTTGACTATCTCCAACCACCATTTTCTATAGGTATATATATATATATATGCCATCACGTTGTCTCATCAGAGTTATTTCAAAACTATGTTCACGATGAATTAAAGTGCCTAACAGAGATTGTGAATCAACAGTTAAGGAGTTTTTGACATCTCAATGACTTTAACATAAACATCAGGTGTAAACAAAAGAATTTTGATCTCATATGCTAACATAATTCTACGTCATCTTGTCAACATTCATACTTTGCAAGTGTTACTTACAACTTTCTATTTTCTTTAACAATATCTATTTGGTGTTTCGTGATTGTTGAACTGTTATCTCACATGTTCCTAATTCTTAAACTATTATCATCTTAAATTCAACTTAGTATTGTTTGTTTGAATCTTCCCATCGATTTGTTAGGACTGCAACTGGTCAGTCTCTAATTGGCATATGTGCATACTGTGCGTATTGCTTCGATATACCTTAATTCACAAGCATGGTTAGCAGAGATGGATAGTGGCTAGCAGTGGAATCCAGGTCGCGCGTTTCGTCCAGTTGCAGTCCTAACAAATCGATGGGAAGATTCAAACAAACAATACTAAGTTGAATTTAAACTTCACCCCATCGCACAAGCAAGTGGCTATCAGGACTCAGTGGCCGAGTGGATAATGCGATGGCGTTTGAAGCGAGGGTACTGGGTTCGAGTCCCAGAGTGAACATCAACTCTGAGATGCAGGTACATCCAGCTGACGAGTCCCAAATAGGATGAAACGCGCGTCCTGGATTCCACTGCTAGCGACTATCCATCTCTGCTAACTATTATCATCTTAGTTCTATTTAATAACTTTCACATAATTTCATAACCATCATTTCGACTAGTAAATGTAATTTTTGAAACAATAATACAATGATATTTAATTCTCCCATCAAATACCATGCATTAAATAATTGTAAATACAATCGAAAGGCATTAAGAAAGTTAGTTATATTGTCAAAAGGAAATTTTCTGCACTAGATTCTATGTAGGTTTTTCATAATGATGCAATACGTTTATTTGATTCTTTTTCTTTACTCTAAATATAACTTGAAAGAATAACTTGAGACAATTTTATATGAAAAGCATTTTTTTTTTCATTTGAGAACCATTTTAATTTGTAAATTAATATTTCTTGTAAACTTTTATTATGTTATTTATTTATGTTATGTGTGCTGCTGATGTCAATGATATAAGTAGTATGTATTATCAGTCGAAAGTGAAATACCTGAACGCAGAAGGTTAAGAAGATCGAAGAAAGGAGAACGAGAACAAAGAATGATTTGTGTGGAAACGAACAAAGAATGAAGTCTGAGATGATTGATTGGCATTTTCAAAAGGAACAGTCAAGCGTGAGACAATTGATTGACATTTCGCAAATGAAGTACTTACTATATGGTTCTCAGATTCTACTAAGATGGCCTGTAATTTTGTATTCAAATACATTCGATTATCCACACTTGTGTTCTCGTTCACTATAGATAAAGAGGTTTGTAATGTTTATGTGTTCAGTATACAGGTTAAGTTAAAAATAACTTCACCTTTGAATCAGTGGTTGATTAAGGAATGTAACAATTATTTTTAATGAGATTACTTGCAACTCATCGAATACCAGTAAATGAGTTTTCGTTTTTACACAAAAGATAAATGAATGATCTCACATCTTACTGGTTGCTATTAACTACTCTCAAGATTATTTGTTTTCATGTTTGATTTAGATAGCAACTTCTTTGAAAGTTTAAACAAACAATGTTCATACAAAAATCTGTTTTCAATGACATATCTGTTTAAAATATATACTTAAACCACAGTCCCCAATTTGTTTAGCATAGTTTTCATTATTTTTCCGACATTGATCGAGAAATTCCTAAGGTTATCTAGCTCACATTTCGTATGATTGCAGTAAAGTTTACATTCTATTCAATTATTTCACTAAATATTCCTTGTTAACTTAAAGTTCTCAATGTACGTTTTTTGCTATAACAAACTGAATACAACTTCTATCTGCTTCACTATGGCTTAACCATATTAGTCTCATCTATTTCGTGTGTGAGTTGAACTAGGATTTAAAATGATAATTCATTACAGATAGCTGTAATGCAAATTACTGATTTATTAGAATCCTATCATAATTATAGAGATTTTTTGGCATGTTTAATTACGGTGTATCGAACTGGATTTCATAAAGCCATGTCATGATGTGTACTTTTTAATTCATGTCTTTCTTGAATATTTGAAAAATGTGAAATAAACAAACAAACATTGACAATTGAGTGAATATTACATTTAAACAAACTAATATGAAATCTTATCTGTTCCGGTCACATGTTTAAAACAATGAACAAGACTGGGATTGAATGAATGTTTCGCATCATTAGTTTTGTATTCAATATGGATCATCAGAAAAATGTTAATTTATTTAGTCATGACTTCTTTGATATTTTATCTCTTATGTTTTATCTTTCAAAATCATGAATGTGTTAAATTTAGCTCTACTCAACACTCAAGTTTCAAACATTACACCAAATGTTGTATTGGATTATAGAATATGTGACATATCAGTCAGTCAGTCAACTACAACATAGGACCAGGTACATATATGCATCGGTTCAAGTTGTCACACCTTGTTAGCACAGCAAAGTGAACACCAAATTCATAGAAGTAATTAATTTAGTGGAGTTAATATACAGAAGAAGTTTGTATATTAGGACATCGTACAGGAAGAAAGACAGATATGAAGCAATTTTAATCTCCTTGTTTCAAGGAAGATAAAGAGTGTACACATCTGCGCCATTGTGGTCGATTCTGAGCCATGTCACCTGGAGTCTGCAACCATTGGTTACGATAGTTGCGAAATATCAGTAAGTATGAATTACAGTTATGTATTTTCAATCAATTTGCTTCTTTGTTACTATATTCAATACATTATTGTTAATACTGTCGAACATTCTATTGGTGATTATTGTAAAATAATCATGGATTTACTATTGTATATCTTTTGAAATGAAAAACGTATTTCATAAGCTTCTCGTTCTTACTTTTGATCAGTATATAATACTATTTTAGAGCCGATGTTATCTAATTTGAATGGCTTCACTGTAAACCTTTCATTGTCTTTGTTAACAACATCATATATAAATATTTTAAGAGAAAACTAATCAGAAAGGGTTTTGTAGAGATTTCAGTGTTTTCCAAAGTTGAAATCATGAGTCGATTGAAGCTAGATCACCGTGGGAAACCTGGAAGCACTGGACGGCTGTTTCATTCTATTGTGGTACTCTTCAGTAGTGCGCATCCACGATCCCGCATTAGCGAGATTCGAAATCAGGACCTACCGGTATCGAGCCAGAGCCCTTAAATGATAGACCACTGAGCCGGCATCCAACGTCGTTAATGTTCAACTTCAACCGATCCACAGGTAGGTCCTGGTGTGAGTGCGGTATCGTAGATGCGCACTACTGAGGAGCCCCATAATAGGACGAAACGGCCGTCCAGTGCTTCCTGGTTTTCCATGGTGGTCTAGCTTTAATCCTATCATGATTTCAACTTTGATGAAAACTAATCATTAACTAATCATTCATTTCATAAAAAATATCTGCTTGTTTGATTGACATGAATTTCAATTGGTTCTTGTTCATTATTGTATTGCCATATTTTGTACATAGATTTGATTTTTCTTCTAACCTGATCTGATTTCTGACCACGTAGCTAGTTTTTCATTTTTTTATCGTTATTGTAGGGTGTTGCAATTATTGGTAAACTTCTTTTTTTATATCTCTGTTTGACTTCAGTTGGATAACACCTGAAAGACAAGAAGCAGTGGAAATTCGTATTATCT